TAGAGTGTTGGGCAAAGAGGGAAAATCAATCGACGAGGCTATAAAGTTACATAGACTAAGATGGCTAGGTCACGTGCTGCGCATGCCTAACCACCGCCTCCCCCGACGGGCATTGCTAGCTGATATAGGTTCAGGTTGGAAAAGAGCCAGTGGTGGCCAAACAAAAACATGGCATCAATCCATGAAATCCTTGACAGTTAAACTGAGTCAGGTAGGGAGATGCAGACTCCCGGGTTGGGGCCCTCGGGACTCTAGGAATCAATGGCTGGAGACAATAGGTGACATGGCTCAAAATCGTTGTCAATGGCGCAGATGTATTCAGTCTCTGTAATCTTTCATATTCCTTTCTACCATTACCCATTCTGTTTCACTCTTATACTTGTCAAACTCTATTGATTCTCTTCACTCATCTTCTTGTCTACCTCTGTGTGCTATTTGGAACGTGGCAACTCGAACTGCTGCACTTCGGTGCCAAGTTCTATGTTGAATCCAGACAGACAGACAGACTAAAAGTTTGCAGCAGAGAGCATGACGACCAATTGAGAATCTTCAAGCGACTGTCCAATCGAAAACTTATTGAAAAAGGGATGGTGTTACGATGACAGGAGAGTAAAACTGAGTCAATCAGTGGCTCCTTCTGGGTATGAGAATACTATTCAAGTTATCAGTGGTAGATTTTCACGTACTGAAACATCTAGTTATGACGAACGCAAATGTAGTACTTTCCAGGGCACTATATATATATGTGATTATCAATTATTCCACCTCATACGGTGTGGAAATGTCAGTATTTCCGTGATAAAATACTCGCCGATTACGCCATACGTGGCCCGGGGTCTGCCTCCCATCTGACGAACTCTTAAACCTGACCTCGTTTGCTAGCTCATAGTATGCCCACAAATAGGGATGATCGAGTGTAAAAACAACACTGATAGCTACCGAAACTTCAACGCTTCAAGTTCGAAGCTCTATGTTCTACTCAGAACACAAAACGGTATACAAAGACAATATCACACAAGCATACCCACAAGAAAAGCTTTATATAATAAGAAGTTATGCAACTTGTTTATATACTGAATAGAATACATACATACACAGGTTATGTAAAAGAGAAAATAATATGAAAGGTATTCATGAAAGAAAAGTACATGATTGTGTACATATTCGCAAAACAAAACAACTAGACAAGTAAAGTCTACTTTAAGAGTTAAACTAAACTGTCTTAGAAATATAAAGGAAACTAGACAAAAATTAAGTATGATGATGAAGAAAACAAGTTAACTTGTTGAGTGTGTAATTAAAATTGAGCAAAATCTCTTTCAGACAATATTTCTTCTAAATGCCTTAAAGATATTCACACATACACCCCCCCACACACACACACACACACGATATACATGTTGAATTATGTTTACAACAATTCATATTATTTTTTCAGTACTATACACAGTAAGTAATATAGCAACTCTTTTCAGATAATAATCACATTGGCAATAATTGTGAATATGCTTTTAAGATGTTTGTGCAACTGGTTGACCTTCATTTGATTAGACATTTTTAGAAGTATCCACTGGATCACTTTCACCGCATTCAACACGAATAAAATCTTCAAGAATCATTTCATTTCTTAATAAATGTTCTCCAACACTAATTGTTTCATCTAACAAGAAAGGTTGTAATAGCAAACATTTCTCTTCATCTGGATTTGTAACTGTAGATTCAGTAGGGATTGGTTCTAAGCCAGGATTTGGATTCATGCCAACAATATGTTGACATATCTGTCTGCCTAGACGGGCAGCACGTTCATGCCATGCATCATTAGCAGGCTGTGTGGAGAGAGAGAGAAAGTGAAAATTACCATGTATAGAAATAATTTATGCTTACAGCTTTAAACAGAAATGCCTATTTAATCACAAGCTGGCATCAGTAAGAAAACCATTGGAAAACCAGGGGGTAATGCTCCTCTAAATAAAACCAACTCGTGAACAAACCTGCAACCAATCAAATCCTTGCAAACCAACATTTGAAAAGAAATCTATGTAATAATATATCGTTTAAGTGTCTGTAAGCAGCATGAAATGAAATATTACTTAACGACCTCTTGGGATTCCATGCAGTTGACAATGAGCCAAACCTCTTGTGTGAGGACTAGTGATACTCTACCTTACTGTCCTAATCTAGGTAGATGGGACGGAGTTAGAACCTGTGACCCACTGATTACAAGTTGAACGCTCACACCAAAGAACCACAGCTGAACACAAACTAAAGTGGAATGAATTTAATCGATAGAAAAGAGTAGGGGTTGAACAAAACGGTCTTTGAGTACATAGTTTAGTTTTTTTTGTCAGTATATGGTTAGAGTTTCGACCTTACATATAAGTGAAGAAAACGTAGACTTTTGAAGTTACTGGATTTAATCCTACAGATAGTTTTGCGGAATAAACTACGTGGGATTGAATGATCTGACTAAAGATGTTTACAGATGGAACACTTTGTCATTCTATGCTCGCTTTTCATCAACCAAACCAGGAAGTGTTCAGCTACGTGTTTACAAAGATTAACCTTATAAAGATCAATGTAATCAGTTCCACAAGAGCATCTGAAATGGAATTGAACATAACAGGCATAGTCGAAACATACTTCGGTTGGAGAATAAATAGCAGGTGTGTTAGTCACCGGCATAAAAAGAAAGCTTGACACACTTGAGTGGACGACTTTTAATCGCTACACAGAGGAAGACAACTTTAAATGTCAAACACATAAAGAGTATCCTTTTGGCAGTATGATTTGTCTAGGCGTAATTTCTTTCCTTATCTTTCTTTCAGTTCAACTTCTAAGATATCATCTATCATTTTTAAAAGCGTTGTGCGAAGGTTTTCAAGTCCTATGTCAACCGTTTGTTTATGGCAAATTTTTAAAATTCCGGGACAGAGAGAATGAATAAGATTCTTCTTTGTTATTTATAGAGGTACCCCCTAACTGTTGAACTTAGTGAACTGTCTTGTAATGGTTGGCTTTTGGTATATCGGCCTATGTATTGAGCCATCCTATCTCTCTCCTGTGTAACATCAATATGTTTCCCTTATCATCTTAGAAAACCTCAAGAGTAAAACTTATAGCGAATATCGACCAAAATCATTCTTTAACAATATGCCGCATCTTCAAAACAAACTTTTTGACTTTGCTTGAAGATAATACAGGTATATTTATTTCACATTAGGCTATGGACTACGTATGTCACATGTATGAGTTAATGAGTCGACTCATATGTCAAGTGTTTGGCAGATTGCACATGGTTCGAACCAGTAGTCTGCTGCTTGGTGTCTAGATACCTGAGCTGGTGAACCACAACGCCCATAAAACTTATTTTTATCATAGTAGACATGTACAGTAGGTCAGGGAAATTTAAACTAATTAAATGAGCTTTAAAATCAGAGACAACAAGACAATACGTTCTTATACAGTAATCGTGGTTTACTCCAATCGGTCTGCTTAGATCATTATGTTCTATTCATAACCAGTTCTCGCTGATAATAAAAGAGCACCTTTCTCTTAGGAGCTTCAGGCGGAAGAAATCTCTGCATGGATACAGAGGGCTCGTTTGGCATATACCTGTCAACTTACACCATCTCTAGTTTAATAGACTTGATATTCAGTTTATCGATCAAAGGGCGTGTGTGCTGCTCACCAGTCCGCTCAGTACTCATTTATAGCTGTGAGACATGGTCACTGAAAGTGGAAGACATGAAAAGGCTGGTTAGCTGTCTTTGATCATAGGTGTCTGAATTCTATCTCCGTGTGAAGTGATATAATAAAGTGAGCAATATTAAGGTTACGTGTAGAGTGACAGGTTATGAGGGCAATCGATCGACCAGGTTGTGAAGTTACACCGATTGAGATGATTGGGACGTATGTTAAGCATGCCTAGCCCAGCCGTCGCCTTTCTCGACGAGCAATGTTAGCTGACATAGAATCAGGTTGGGAAAGAGCCAGTGGTGGTCAAACCAAAACATGGCTTCATCAGTCAATGAAATTCACAACAGTTAGTTTAAACCAGCTAGCCAACCACGCAGAAAGGTGTAAACTTCCTGACTGGTTGGGGTCCTCGGGATGTAGGAACCAATGAGGGCTAGAGACAATTGATGATATGGCTCAAAATCGTTTTCAGTGGCGTAGATCTATCCATTCCTTGTGACATAATATTCAATAAAACTATACAGTTCTTCTATATTACTATTCTTCTTGCCTCATTTTTGTTTATTATCTCTCTTTTCTTGCTTTGTTTGCTACGTGAAGTGTGGCAACTCAAACTGCTGCACATCGGTACAAAGTTCCACTTTGAAACGAATCAGTCGGTCAGACAAAAGGTACGGAAATCAGCTGACTCAACATATATTCATCTTCAGCACAATCGTACATTACACTTGGAGGCAGTAAAATTATTAGTATCATAAAAAAGTAAAGTAAACGGAGAGATAAAGATAACTAACAAAGCGCCCCCCCCCCTATAAACGACCTGATACCGTTGAGGGTGGATAGACTTTGGTCTTCCAGTCGAAATGCTCTCATGTGACCACGAGTCCATAGCCTCAGTAGGTAAGTACTATTCACTGCCTTTACGCGGCGGTGTTCTCCAAAGAGTTAGGAAGACGAATGTGAACGTATGACGCTAACAACCGAACTGGTGGAAACACACATCTACCTTGGTGAGCTGGAAAACCCTGATTCCAAACCTATGGTGTACATTGCCTGCAGAATTCGAAAGAATCGAATGGTGTATGAACCTGATTTTGGTCACTAGAAACCACGCTACTCTAATGTATTGTGGATCATACTTCAGGCCGAAGGCTCCGTTAAAGACGACCACTAACTTCGATCTAGTCCGGGTATTCTAGCTGTCTCACAGACTGTAAGATTTTGTGTAGAGCATTTACTGGTGCCCGTGATGTGTCACTTTCGTGTTTTAATAAAATTTTAGAAAAAACAACTAACAAACTTACTTTATCATTCACTGGTCTATACCGGATAACCGCAGCGTATTTTCCGAAACGAACGTCTCGTATTCCTTGCAATATACCTTCTGTGCTTGTGTGAGAATAAATGGCTAAACGACTTGAACTCGAGCCTTCAGGGACACAAATTCCTATCGCTCTTCTTATCTTAATACTTTCACCAATAGAACCTATGGCTGCAGCCACAATGTTTTGTAGAGTCGAAGAGTTTGGCGTGGTTAACTTATTCAGCTGGTCAGAATCCAAAGAAATTTGAGTTGATTCCTTAAATGAAAAACAGGATGGAGCATTATGATCATAATGTATTTAATGTACGCCAAAAGATGGAAAAAATTATGTTTAAGGAAATGATTGAAAATTATATATTGGTGGCCAGTGTTTTAGATTCATTGGATCCGTCAAGGAACAGTGCAGACACTAGTTGAGCCCATGGAAATATATATCAGTACAGACGCATAAAAACAAGGTGTAGAGGGTGAATAATACAGGTTATTATAGGCTTATGTACTAGGCAACGCACTAGCCAATAGTGTTTCACATCCCGAAGTACAATGAGCTGAATCTAAACTTTTATTAACCGCAAGCCATATTAGTACATAACAGTGGAAATATTAAAAAGATGATGCCGTTTTCCAAGCTGTGGATTCAGATTTAAGTCCCAGATTTCATATAACGGAATCAAAACGATACACGTCTACAGCTATATTACTATAATTTTTATTAATCGAACACTAATCTACAGCAGCATGAACTCTTATCTGTCTGTCTGTTTTCGACACAGAACTTTGCACCAATGTGCAGCAGTTCAAGTCGCCACCCTCCATGGACTCTTATAAATGGGCTGCACAAAACAACATAACAGTCATAAATAAACAGAAGAGAAATAAAAGAGTAGTCAAAGGATAACATAATAAACGTAAGCAGCATTAAGGGCACTGAGCGACAACAGCTACCTTGATGTAGTAATGGAGTTGGTGTGTTGCAATGGATCAGCGAATTGTACGGCACGGAATACTTGTTTGTTACGTGGTCGTAAGACTGTAGCGTAAGTTATTTACATTAGGGTGGGAATGAGAGTGGTCCGGTGTTCAGTGTATTCACAGAGCACCTGATGTGAATCTTAAGTACTAAATGTTGTTGGTCTCCAAAGCCTCAGGATGGTCGGGGGTGGGTGCCTTGCGCTGCGGGTTGGCCACCCCTCCGCACACCTCTTGAAATGCTCCCATATGACCGGGCGTCTTACATAGCCTCTCCTGAGGAAGTCCTACTCACTGCCTTCACGTGGCGGAGGTGTTTCTCACCAAAGTGAGAGGGCGAAAGCGGATGCCCGGCGCTCTCCACCGGGTTGACTGTCCATTGGATGACAGTCTAGGGGAGATGGCTAAACCCTGATTCCAAACCTCCAACGACTGGCGTATGAAGCTCACCAGAGCTCACCGGCAGACGTATGGACAAAGGGCTTGTTGGATGACCTGGATGTCTGGCCCCATTCAAAAGGCGTATGAACCGAACTCCGGTCACCGGCTGCTAATGGATAGTGGACTCCTTACTCCACTCCTACTGCCTTGTAGGTCACACTTGGCTGTGTAAAGGCAAGAGCTGCACTCTCAAACAAAAGGCCGAGCGATGCTGGGGACATCACTCGTACCAAATTCCCATGAAACTTCATGAACTCTCTTACAAATTGCCGCGCCTGGGCGGCGATGAATCGAGACGTTCATGAAGCCGGCTCATCCTCCCGCAGGAGATAGCCGAAGTGAAGTAAAAAGTAAGTTGCTAGTAACATTCATGTTAATTTTTGGTGCTGACAAAAGTATGCGAAATAGATATTCAGTATTTAAATACCTGACTCAATGAACAGAGATTTAGTAGACGAGAAGTGGCTTAGACTTTCACTGAATAATTATTTTTCAAATGGTTTAATATGTTCTGGTAGTGAACACTTGTGTTCATATATCAAGCTAATCTCATGGACAGTTTAGGAAATGGAGATAAGGTTCAATAGTTCTGTGCAGCGGTACGAGATGACAAACTTTACATTAATGTACACAAAGGAATTAGAAAGAAGGGTGAAATAAGTGAATACTGTAAAGGCATATAAAATTAAGGTTTTGAAATACAAGACACTATAGTTTAGATGGATATAAGGCCCGAATACATCTGCACTCATGAAAAGACCGAATTCTAGATAATAAACCTACATCTACATACACAGTTCAAGGCAGTTGAAAGCTTCAAGGATATCTTACACCTTGTTTTGTACACAAGCTTACTTGAATCTGGTCACACTTCAACAAGCATCTCTCTGTGATAATGGATAGTTGGCCACGAATAGTACAATAAAGTCACTTCAATGTAAAGATGGATAACTTTAATAATTTGCTTGGGTTCGTCGCATGAAATGGGACGCAGCCAACCTTAATAGAGCTTGTCGTGATTGCATTACACATGATACGAGTAAGATTTGTAGTTATTAGTCTTTAATTTGGACGTTTCATAACCATCTATATTTGGAGAAGGACACTTCTCATAAGTAGGGTCAAATCCGAACGGGTGGACGGAGACACTAACTGTGCAATCGATGACAATATGCACTAAATGCACTAATGTGCGTCGGTGGCACAGTGGTTAGGACTCTCGCCGACCATGCACATGGTCCGGGGTTCGAGCCCTCGCCGACGCACACCTGATATCTATGGTTGGCCTGGGAATTTTGGGCTACCGATATCCACGCTGAATATTCCACACTTGTACCAAAAATACGGTGTGGAATCAAGCTGTAACCATAAAATAAAATAAAATAAAAAATAAAAAAAATAAATAATTTTTTGATAACCAAGCCGTAATTTAATTAGTTACCAATCTAATGGAAATAGTGTGCTTCTCAGACGAGAGGAGTGGTGACCGCGTTCGATAACTTAAATTTTTTTCTTATTTAAATGGGTATGTCTCAATGGGGAACAGTTGGATTTAAGAAAACAAGAGCCCATTGTAAGCATATTAAACTTGTCAACTAAAGCTTTTAAGAAAATATTCTCATAATTACCCTGTCAATCATTTTTGATTCTTATGGTAGATAGTGAGTATTATTACAATGAAAAGCACATAACAAACTCTGCAACTGATTCTCCCCTACGTGTAACATCAATATCCTGAGGAGATAGAAACAATCTTGTGGTTGGAAATTTTGTAACGGCCATCAGGACGCAAAGACGATCTAACTGCGCGCTCAGGAAGGGTCACGATTCCTCTAATGACCGAACCTCACAACAAGGAGTTTACTTTATGCTTTTAAATTTATGCCAAATTAAGAGTACCACTTTACCCTCACAGTCAACATTTTTCTCTTATCATTTTTTAAATGACAGTTATAGCATGGAGAAAATTAAGCGTTTAACTTAGTTTATCTCAGTTCATCGGATAAAATAAACTGACCAGACTATACTCGGTGGTCAGAAAACTAATGATTTGACTTGGATACAGAATAAGCCTGGCACGGGATGAAAGTAAGCGTCAGAAACTTATAAAGAGGTCACGAAAAAACTCAAGGGATTCATTTATCCTATCGTATAAAGTTCTCACCTAATTATGGAAATAACCCAATAGTTGAAGTGGAATACACTGAAATAGTAACATAATAAGACAGCTGTTACTCTTAATTCATGAATGCTGTCATACCTAATGCTACTTGCTAACATGACGCTCTTAAATATTGAAGTCTGTACAACCACAAGATAATATTAGGTATTAAAGCTCAATCGAGGAAACCCCTCTGATAAAATCTAAACTTATAACAAAGGAACAAAATGACTAATCAACAAATTTTTTGGGTTCATTCAATAGGTGGAATGAGTATCAGCAAAAAACTGGGTCAAATAACTTAAGAAAAAGAAAATTTCGATACTTACTGTGTAATTCTGCATAACAGTCTCGGCAGTAACAGCTACTAGCGACTGAAAAGAGTTATTCCTCGCAACAAAATCAGTTTCACAATTGACTTCAACAATAACAGCCCGGGTACGACTCCCTAGTACACCCAAAAGACCCTCACTCATTGAACGTCCTGCTAGTTTACCAGCCTTGTCCCAACCTCGAGTAACAGCCTCTTTTGCTAACCAATCTTTTGCTTTCTCAATATCATTTTCATGTTTAACGAGTGCTTCTTTACAAGCTGAAAATGTATAACCAGTTGCTTTGCGCAGTTTATACAAAAGTGCTTTATCAGCCGCCTGTGAATAAAATCGCGCGCAATACAGGGATGTATTGCGCGTTATTATAGGAGAAATTAGAACATTCAACATGATGTCGTCGTGTCATCAAACCAGCCGCCACATTGCACAACTTGAAATAGTGCGCAATAGTTTCTCAGAAAGGTTAACATTTAGAGTGTCCAATATGTTGGAAATGAGGACAAAACTTCTTATGCTTATCTAATTCTGTTCTCATTAAGTGCCCATCCTTTCCCATTTCCTCCTGCTGACGTTTCTGTCATGACTAATTCTGAGGATCTGAATCATTCAAGTTCGCGTTTTGTACTCAAACATACGGCCATCCTAGACGTTACATACTTGCGAAATGGGAGAGGGAAATTGGATTGGGCTTGCGAGCATTTCTTTAAAGTTCGATCGTACTAATAAGGTCCCTTTTATGTCTACGATAAAATCAGGCGTATGGCAACTTGTTAATTGCCTCGGTGAAAGCTATAGTGACAGGATTTCTCTAGGACCGTGTTGAGACCTGAACCAAAGGCCGCTGTTTTTCAAACCAGCCATGAGAGATTTCCCGGCTACTCTTTTCAGAATCTTTACTGAAGCGCAAGCAACGATGACAGGTTTTCAGTGTGAGTAAACGGTCAACCTCATTTTTGATAAACCACACTTTAATTGTCAAAATGAGCTCACATTTCCCACCCTGAAAAAGGTTACTTTTTTATGAATATAGTAATACGGGCACCTTTTTTGATTCCATTGGAACACCCTTGTTTCTCAGTTTAACAAACAGTGGAATCTTGTCCTATTATACTTAGCAGCTTACAAGCAGTCAAGAAAACAGTTGTATTTCACCAGACTTCTAGCCCCGAGTGTACCATCCGGATAAAGAGGTCATATTATTGGACATGGGTCAGTGTTGGCTAATAAAACAGAACTTAAATCCATGATGTTCCACAAATTACTACACCACGAGTTCTACGAAAGTATAGGAATAGAAGCACCAAAATCTTAGGAATCAAAGCTGCTTAGCTGCCATTTAGGAAGATTCAAGGTGCAGAAACTCTACTTTTTCCGTTTCGCCTTACGTTTACATTTGGAATAGACCTCTGAAGTATCAAGTGCTACCGAACCTTGTCATAGGTTAACTGAGGGCTAAGATACTATACTAACCTGGACAGAATCTGAAGAATTCTCAGTGCGGATCACTTAGACTATATGGTGTCACACAATTAACATAACACGGAAAATGAATATTATCACTATTGTTCTTTCTTGAGTAAAATAATGCCATTTAAGAAATATAGTTTACAACGTCGGCATAACTCTTGGGCCTGGGTTTACGCCACCAATTGAGTGTTGAAAGCATGTTAGACGTCACGCATTCAGACCGTTTCCCGTGGTCGGTTGTCACCGTAGAAGGAACTCCAAAGCATGCAACTCACCTTTCCATGAAGACTTGGCAGATGGGTTCGTGGATGGAATCTAGTATATGGATAACTTATAGCCAACTTTTGAAGTGATATGAGAATATGAAAAGGTAAAAAAAGGCATCATAAGGAGGTGGTGGACCAGTGATGTTCAGGCGAACGTAGAGAAAGGGCGTCACCTGTAGAAAATGGGCATTTCTATTTACACCATTGTCGCAAACGTTCCAGCGTTGGTATTGTGCACAACAACGCGTCCGATTTCTCAAATCAGGATTTATTTCTTCCTAAATGAACATGGCAGATGTAAGACTTTCTGTGGCACGTATACTAGGATTTGGGAGGTTTTGAGGAGATTAAGGAACTGCAGATTCAGTTATGCCTGTGCTCAAGTCGCGCAGTACGGTGCCCTAGCTTTCGGCAACAGATAGGCATTCTGTCTTCAAAGGAGAGTTGAGAAAAAGTTCGTCTACACTCTACTCTAAAGTCTGAATTTCAACATATTCCTCAAGTCAGTGTTTGGATGAACTGAAGTGATGCCAAATGGAGACAATGCGTGTACCCACCAGAAACATTACAGATGTACGACGTGAATTGTGAGATGTAGCTGAATTGATGTATTTCGCTCCAATGCTATCTATCGATGTTTGCGTGAAAAGCAAAAGTCAAAGTATTATGATGAGTGGATACTATGAGCTGGCGATCTTTGGTGAAGTGGTGGAATGGTTCGGAGGACATATAGATGCAAGCAGTCGGGGAATGTAAATGCTATATCGCTCTCCGTATGCTCCCCAGAAAGAGAGAAGACAGCCCCAAAAGCCACGTAAGATGTGCCAGTGAAAGTACATCCGAAAACGCTAATATGGTGACATCTGAGATGATAAACCTTATAATTTTGAAGGCTCTTAGTGCTTCTGGAGTCTCCGCAAGTGTTTCCAGCCCACTTCCTGTAATATTTTTAGTGCTAATATTTGTGTAAAACTTGGGCATTGTGGTAGTAAGTAATTCCATATTAGTTTGTTTATTAGATGTATCACACAGTGAAACAGTATTATTTACTGAACGACGTTTCGAACAAAATTTATTGCTCATAATCATATCAATTGTAATCACACGACTTTGAAACTTGAGTTTTATAGTTTTCTTTGTTTTATTCCTATCAGCTGCAAATACGTGTAATAGGAATGATTCAACACTTGTCCAAGATATCTGGAAAATTCTACTACCCATACGACAAATAGAAGAAAACAAAGAAAACTATGAAACTCAGCTTTCAAAGTCGCGTGATAACAACTGATATGATTATGAACAGTAAATTTTGTTCCAAACGTCATCCAGTAAATAATACTGTTTCACTGTGTAATACATCTTATAAACAAACTAATATGGAATTTCCTAATGCTGTCAAAGATGAAACATGAGTGCACTTGGTGATAAAACGATAGAATTGTTTACTAAACCTAGAAGTGTAAACGAATATTTCAGAGCTGTTAGCACTTGAAACTTTTCATTGCCTTCATTCCTGAGGTAAAGGGTGAGCGTCACGTTCACCAAACACACTGAAACGACAGAAGACAAGGGCCAAGCAACAGGTCGTTTGTTGAGAAAATTAAGAGATATTTATAGATTTTTTTGTATATTATTATTAGCGTTAGCAGAGAAGCAACCTCTTCTGATTGTTCGTTTACTGCCGAAGATTATTGTGTTATCTCTTCTGGTCGTTTCTAAAAAACCAAGGTGTCAGCCACGTCTCATAAACCGTTAATGCCCAGCTCTTGCTACGCTCGGGCCCACGCTGTTCCTTGCAGTTTTTCAGAAACGCTTAGTAATAACGGACGAAAAAACCAAAAGACCGATTGGTGACTCGAGGATTCTTTATTGTTACACCAACATATAAAAATAATGTTTCTATTAAGGTCTGTGAACAAATATTACAATAATAAATCACGAGATTACTTCTGATGGTTTGCTACTGACTTCTTTCTGAACAGCGACCGATGAGACGATGACTGTCGTATTGATGCCTCCGCGAAAATTGGGGGAGTTGGTTTTGAGCAAACAACCATGAATTGATCGTTCAATCTTCAACTCCATTGACACTCCCCGGCAAAAAAGGGATCCATCCCTTTTTTCCTTCACGACCAATACACATTGACTTGGATGCCATTGCGAGAACCTGGGTCACACGGACAGAGCTGAAATGGAAAACAAACAGAAAAGCCAACACACCACAAGCATACCCACAGCACAATCTCACACATCAATGACGACCTGCGCCTCCAGATAGAGACCTCCCCTTGACATCTTGCAACACAATCGCCACTTGCTAGAATGACTCTTGCAGAAAACAACGTGACCATAGAACCACCTCACGATACTCTACGCACATCCTCCTATCTACTCACTACCAATTACCACTGCAATCGCTTGTCACTCATTCTGCCTCAGTTCTAGTAGCGGTGACGCATGCGAGCCTCAGTCGTTTACACTCTTTCTCCCCGGCGAGTCGGACCGCAGCTAACAATTATCTCCGTATGCATTTCATTCTTAGAAATAGCCTAGCCTCCCCGGCGTATACGACCCATCTGCTGTCTCTAACATCAATCAATTCATTCACGAATGTAGAAGACTCGAAACAACTTCACAAGTAATCACGACGAAAATTTAAACAAAATTATGTGATAACAACAAGATACGAAAACAACAAGTAAACACAATGAATCCAAAAAACACCAGTTGATATGGCACACCACACATATATACAAATAGTACACACAAACTCGCATTTCATGTCTTGATGGAATTCCTTTGAAGAATCGCAGGACTTACACCAGTACGCCTACAACCCTTCACAGGTTGACCATTGTAAGTTGTGGAATGTCCGGACACAAACAAGATTAACCAACAATTACGATAATTGGAACTCACACAATTATTTAACACAAACATATGTACAATCACTACATCAAATGTTGTGGATTCTGGCACGACAAACTACCTTTCAAGAACTGTAGGACTTACAGCAGTACGCCTACATTCCTTCTCAGGTTGACGCCCTAGGTTGGAAAATCGTCGCAGAGTTCATTTGCTGATTTCCTTCTATCAGCTATATCCTCAAGTCTGAACGGTAACACGCCCATGTCATTGTATCGTGGAACATAGATGACGAACAAACACGCAAAGCATCTGGTCAACCAAGCGTAAGCACAGAGTAATTTGCACCAAAGATAATAGCATTCAAATAGTAACTTGAAACTAGAAATGCCTTTATTCATGCAAGTCAATTTAACAATTACTCTCGCGTTTACACTTGGCTTATCCTCACTAAACTGACCATTGATATTCGTCCTTTCAAACGAACTGATACTAGCATAGTCACTTCACAAGATACTTGAGTTGATTGGTGTCTGTTTTATTGTGGATGACAGCACCAACGACGACTGATTGATATCAGTTGATGAAGTTAGCGGTGGATCAAAAGCTGTTGTTGCTCGGCTTTCAGAAGTTTGTCTACCTATAAGACCACCACCACTGTTGTCTTTTACTATCAGCTCAGGTTTAGCACTAGCATCTGATGATAACATAACATAAGATAAGCTTTATTCCAAATCAGTACTTGTGATACAGAATGGAATTCTCAGCATTTTACTACAATATTGCATCCAG